CCACAGCCACACTCATATCTCCAGGAAGATCGTTTCAGAGAATGCCTAGGACACAGCAGGGAGTGGAGCAAACAGGGTCCCAACCCATGTCGCCGCTGTGATGGCGACCATGTCTGCGTGTGCCAGGAGGGGAGAGAGCAAATAGTTAAAAATCACTGATGTATTAATGGTGTGGGATGGCACCTGACCTCTTCCTCTTTTTGTGATTTGTGTTGTTTGTGCAATAAAAACAGGAGGAAGTGGGGAGAGTTGTTTGGTCAGATGAAGGAGCTTTCTTCACCCTCACCAACTTGTGCCCTTACTTGTTCCAGAGTGAGGGGCCATGTCAAGGAGGGGAGCAGGGCATGGGGGGAACCTGGCATTTGTATGCTTTTCAGGGGGCCTGCACATGTCATCTCTTTTCAGCTTCACAGACATTCCACAAGGTGGGAATTGTTTCTATTTTACAGATGAGGGACTTGAGGCTAGGAGAAGTCACACAGCTGGTATAAGACTGAAGAAGGGGGCTAGGCACAGTGGCTCATGCCTGTAGTCCCAGCACTTTGGGAGGCAGAGGTGGGCTGATCATGCGGTCAGGAGTTCAAGACCAGCCTGACCAACATGGTGAACCCTCGTCTCTACTAAAAGTACAAAATTACCCACGCATGGTGGCGTGCGCCTGCAATCCCAGATACTCAGGAGGCTGAAGCAAGAGAATCGCTCGAACCTGGGAGCCAGAGGTTGCAGTGAGCCGAGATCGTACCACTGCAATCCAGCCTGGGTGACAGAGCAAGAATCTGTCTGAAAGAAAGAAACATAAGAAAGAAAGAAAGAAAGAAAGAAAGAAAGAAAGAAAGAAAGAAAGAAAGAAAGAAAGAAGGAAAGAAAGAGAGAAAGAAAGAGCAGTGGAGGGAGCCTGGGCGCCGGGACTCACTGTGTAGACGTATTCTGTAGGAGGCTGTTTGGGGCTGCTGGCAGATCTTGGAGCTGGGCACTTCCTGGTGGGATCCTTCCGTGGAGCCTGCATCTGCCTCTGTAGAGAGAAAGGAGTCAGAGCCAGGGATGAGTGGCTCCCATCTTCCTCCCCATGTAGACCTCATCAGAGGAAAGGATGGCAGATTGTCATGAGGCCACACAGAGATTTATTGCTCCGTCCCTCCCACTCACCCTCTCCAGTGAAACATGGTGAATGCCTCCAAGACCTGCATCAAGCCACTCATGCACCTGGAGACACAGGAAATGGAAAAGGCCCACACGAGGTGTGGTCTGTGCACAGAGCACCTGGCTTGTAGGGATGCAAGCTGCTGGACCCGGTGCCAGTGGGGCAGGGCCCAGAAACCAAGCCAGCTGTTGTGGGTGGGCCTTTAGTGGTGCCAGCCAGGCCTGGTGTCCAGTCCTGCCATGCTGTCACTCACTGGCTCTGGCCTCGAGCAAGCCAGTTCCCCTCTCTGGGCCCTGGTTTCTTTTTTCTATTTTTATTTTTGAGAAGGAATTTCGCTCTTGTTGCCCAGGGCCCAATCTTGGCTCACTGCAACCTCCACCTGCTAGGTTCAAGCGATTTTCCTGCCTCAGCTTCCCAAGTAGCTGGGACTGCAGGTGTGTGCCAACACGGCTGGCTAATTTTGTATTTTTAGTAGAGACAGTGTTTCACGATATTGGCCAGGCTGGTCTTTAACTCCTGACCTCAGGTGATCTGCTTACCTTAGCCTCCTAAAGTGCTGGGATTACAGGCATGAGCCACCATGCCTGGTGGTGGGTCTTGGTTTCCTCAGCAATAACCCTCCTTTGTGAGATTGTTGCTAAAATTCAAGGGGAACACAGGAAATAGGTGCCTGGTGCTAAGGAGGTGGCGCTTAGGACGTCCTTGTCAACCAACACACACTTGATAGCACCGGTGAACCAGGCAGTGTGAGGAAGCGGGCACCGTCCCTAGCCTCCTGAAGTTTAGGGACCAGTGAAGAGATAGAGGATGAACCCGCAGTTTTGCCAAAACATGGTATGTGGGCTGATTGTGGGTCATGGAGCCTCTGGCACATGAGGAGGAAACCAGTGCCCCACTGGGCAGAAGCAATATTGAAGGTGAAATCCTGAGGGCAAGTTCATTTAGCAAGAGAGGGAGGAGGGAGCCCCAGGTAGAGGGAACAGCAGGTGCCAAGGCCTGGTGGTCCTGAGGCACTTAGAGAAGGTCAACGTAGGCTGGGCATGGTGGCTCACACCTGTAATCCCAGCACTTTGGGAGGCTGAGGTGGGCAGATCATGAGGTCAGAAGTTCAAGACCAACCTGGTCAACATGGCAAAACCCCCTCTCTACTAAAACTACAAAAATTAGCCAGGCATGGTGGCGGGTACCTGTAATCCCAGCTACTTGGGAGGCTGAGGCAGGAGAATCACTTGAACGAGGAGGCAGAGGTTGCAGTGAGCCAAGATCATGCCACTGTACTCCAGCCTGGTGATGAGATCCCATCTCAAAAAAAAAGAAAAGAAAAAGAGAGAAGGTCAGTATGGCCAGATAGGAGAGCCTGCCCGGGAGGGGCCAGAGTGGCCGTGCAGGCTTCGTGAAGAGCACAGGAGATAACTGAGGGCTGGAAGTGGGAGCCTGGTCACAGCTGCACTGGAGAAAGACCCCTCTGGCTACTGCCTGGAGTGCTAATGGTCACGGTGGAGGCTGGGCCTGGCCTGCTGGGAAGGTGAAGCCTGGGCAGGTCAGGAGGCAGTGCAGGCAGCCCTCTGGAGGCAGAGGGAGGTGGCCTGGACGTCCCAGCTCATTGCAGGCACTACACTGTCACTGCTGACAGTGGAGCCACAACTGCCTCATCTCAGGGCAGGAGCTAATTAAAAACCCTGGCCCCCTGCCAAACCCCACCCATTTACTGCAGGATTAGCTGTTGAGAGCTACTTCACTCTCAGGCAGAAGCCGGTGCCACCCCCAGTCACAGCACATAATGGCTCAGAGCATGGAGCCAGGTAGGACTCCAAACACCAGACCTGCCTTCTCTCATGGGCCTCTCCACAAAGCTGCAGGCGAGTCTTTCCATCATCTCGCATCTGTACCTGATGGAGAGGAGGCTCAGAGAGGGCAGGTGACTTGCCGAGGCCACGAAGCCAGGAAGTGGCAGAGGCAAGATTTGGATCCAGGTCTGTGTTTCACCAAGATACCAACGAGACAAGAGCTGGAGTTTCCACTCCTCTGCTTTGTTAGAACTTGTAAGCCTCACAGACTCAGAGAAGTGCTGGCATCTGTGTAGCACTTGATAGTTTACAAAGTCTGCTGGGACTTGTCCTTATTTTCATTTAATTCTCAAAACAGCCTGAGGAGGTGGGCATGGAATTGTTCATTTAACAGAGAGGGGGCCAGGTACGGTGGCTCACACCTGTAATCCTAGCACTTTGAGAGGCCAAGGCAGGTGGATCACTTGAGGTCAGGAGTTCAAGACCAGCCTGGCCAGCATAGCAAAACCTCGTCTCTACTAAAATTACAAAAATTAGCTGGGTATGGTGGCTGGCATCTGTAGTCTCAGCTACTTGGGAGGCTGAGACAGGAGAATCACTTGAACCTGGGAGGCAGAGGTTGCAGTGAGGTGAGATTGTGACATTGCACTCCAGCCTGGACAAAAGGAGTGAGACTCTCAGAAACAAAACAAAACAGAACAAAACAAAACAAAACAGAGGGGGGAAACTGAGGCTTGTCCATCTGGTAAAGAGCTGTCCTTGGATCAAACGCAGATGTGTGTCCTCAAATCCAGGGTCCCTCCCCTGCACCACCTGCTTCTTGAGGGCATTGTCATAGTCAGAGGCTGTGCTCCACCCCAGGGCACCTCGGTGCCTCCTCTTGTTGGGAAGCTGGGGACCTGGTGTCTGTGTCCTCACTGAGCCAGCTGGCTTGGACACCGCCAGGGTTAAGGATGTGAACTCACGGGCAGTGGGTCTCCTGCAAGGCTGACCTGGACTCAGCTCTTTGGCCCTGCCAGGGCTGGAAAGCAGGGTCCCTGGAGCTCAGCTGTCAGTGTCCTCCCTGGTCCTGGGCCTGGGCTAGGCAGGGAGGACCCCATGGTGAGAGAGACCCAGGCCTGGACTCAGTGAGACTGCTGGGGCTGCCAGAGAGGTGAGTGCCACTGCAGGGCCCCAGGAAGGAGCCCCAGGTCTGCAGGGGACTGCAGCAGTCTCAGGGGCATCTTGCACTGTCTTCTGAAAACACAGGAGGGATTTCTAAGCTCTCCAAGTCTGAGAAGATGTCTGAGGCATGGCGAACAGCTTGGGGGCAGGAGTGTCTCGATGTATTAGGGATGCACAGAGGGATGGACAGTCAGACAGAAAGGAGATGAGCTGCAGGCCAGTGCAAGTGGGGCCATGGGAGGTCAAATGCCACAGTGTCAACCTGGAGGGCAGTGGGGGCAGCAGCGCAGGGAAGTGGCAGCAGTTGCATTGTATAAGCCTCCCTCTGCTGCCACAGGTGTGGGGTAGACTGCAGGTTGGGGCTGGCAAGGGGAGGAGGCAGGATCTCCAGGAAAAGGCCTCCTAGGGGTGCTGGGGAGGCTGGGCCGGGGCAAGGGGTCCTGTGGAATAGGGAGGGAGCCTTTTTGAAAACTCAGATGGGTGCTGTTGCACTATGGGGGCAGGGCTGCTCTGCTCCCTGCCCACCCCTGCCCATCCTGCCCACTGAGTGCTCTGTCCTTGGGGCCAGCATTTGCCCTTTCAACTCTGGTTTTCAGATGAATCACTGATGTGGCTTCTCCCACAGTGCCCAGTTCTCTGTGGCCCAAGCCTCTCTCCCTAGTAGACAGTGGTGGGGCAGGGTGTTACCAGGCATGGGCTGAGATCCAGGTCTGAACACCAGGGATGCTGCCATCAGCAGCTCAGGATGCCTGTCAGGCCTCAGTTTCCTCCTCTGTAAAATGGGAGCGATAATGTGGCCTTGCCTACCTCACACTCTGGCCACTTCTGATTTATCTTCCAGGTCCTCATGTGCATTTAACCTGTCATTCCTTCCACAAGCATGCACTGCATGCCAGCTCCCCAGCTACTGGAGACACTCAGTTTCCCTCCCCCTCCCCAGGCCCCGGCAAGGGTGATGCTTTGGCAGGACAGACAGCATAGAGACAAGCCAGGGGCCAGGCATGGTGGTTCACACCTGTAATCCCAGCACTTTGGGAGGCTGAGATGGGCAGATTACCAGGTCAGGAGTTTGAGACTAGCCTGACCAATATGATGAAACTCATCTCTACTGAAAAAAACACAAAAATTAGCCGGGCATGGTGGAACATGCCTGTAATCCTAGCTGTGGCTTGAACCCGGGAGGCAGAGGTTGCAGTGAGCTGAGATTTTGCCACTACACTCCAGCCTGGGCAACAGAGTGAGACTCTGTTGCAAAAAAAAAAAAAAAAAAAGATGGAAGCCAGGGCATGGCAACAGACACCCTTATTCCAGGAGACACTGATGGAACCCTGAGCCCTGGATGCCCAGGAAGCCCCAGGGAAAGGGCTGGATCCTGGACAGACTGAGTGCAGGGCTGAGGGGTGGGTGGGAGAGAAAAGAGCAAACACAACTCCAGGGTTTGGGCCTGAGCATCGGGAGCATATTTGCTGGGACTCAGAGGGCTTGGGGATGAGGAGCAGTGCTCTGGATGCATGAGGTGGCAGTGCCCTCAGGCCCCATACAGGGCTGTGGAGCATGGTCTGGAGCTTGGGGAGGGGTCTGAGCAGCAGATTCTGCTGAGGGGGAATGGGCCTGCAGAGCAGAGCCTTCATCGCAGGAGCACAGGAAGAAAACAGAAGGGCTCGGAGGAAGGGCCCCGGCCATGCCAGAGGCCAGAGGTCACCAAGACAAGGGTGACCTAGCAAAGCTGCCTGTGGGGTGGAGCAAAACCAGTAGGGCAGCAGGTCCTGGAACCAAGAGGAGGAGTGTGCTGTGAGGCGGGAGGCCTGCTGTGTCCAATGCCATGAGAGGAGGAGGGTCAGCTGCAGGGAGCACCTGCTCTGAGAAGACCACTTTGACACTAAAGCCAGCCGCCCCCAAACCTGCTCTAATTGTCGGAAT